TAAAGATTATTTCCAGCAATGAATGTTTTCAAAAAAGTAAATTTCAGATTAAAAATGTAAATTGATTTTAAAAACTCTAATTTCAAATGTTGTTCAGTACATTTTTTCTACTTTATATATTTTTTCTACCTCTGAAAATTGCAAAAGATATATTTGAAAAGAATTCTAGTAAATTCATAACAGAGCTGACTAACTAATTTGCTGATTTAGGCATAAATAGATGGTACAATAAACAATGACGTTCAATTTTTATTTTAATATTTTTTATAAAATTACATAACCTTTGTAAAACAAAGAAATAATACCATAAAAATAATTACTTAAATTTAAATAATAAATACTTATAATATATGAATTTAAAAATTATAATTCTTTAGGCTTAAAAGTAACAAGGTGGGAAAGGAAAAATTGATCAAATTCATTTGAATTGAATATAGATTGAGATTATTTTGTTAGAATTTTTAAAGATACATTTGAGAAGTAAATAAGATACATATAAGAAAGTTTTAATACATTTGAGAGGACAACCTTTAATTTCCCATTTTTTAAATAAACAAGACATTTCCCTCTACAAACCTTGAAAAATGGATTGTCATCACCACATTGTCTGCGGAGGGATTCGGATTTAGGCTTGTTCAAACAATAATTGCTATATAATTTATGGAAGGATTCACTCTAAAAAATAAATCATTAAAATATAGCACATTAAATTATTACCATAAAGACATTTACTACATTCATAATAAAGATAGCAATATTTTATAAATATCAATAGATAACTAATTTCTTAATGATAAGTTAAAACTATACCTAATTTGTTTATTTTGAACTTAATAAAGATACTTACTCTTCGCACAAAACATCTCCCCACTTGCTCAGGATTGTTGCTACAGCCTTCAAGATCTAATAAAAAAGTGCTAGAAAAAACCATAAAAGATCTCATTAAAAATAAATTTAAAAATCATTCATTAAAGTTTAAAATTTTATTTCCATTTTTGAATAAATAAAAATACTGTTAAATATACAAAATTTCCCCTATATTTATATTTATTATGCATTTCAGAACTAGAAATTAAATTATTCTTACTTGTTATGAAATACATATATATCCTCCATATTTCCAAAGAGAACATCCTTTTTATCAAAAAGCACGGAGGGAACTAAGTCTCTCATGGCAGGATTATCAATTTGTTTTAAATAACCCTTTAAAAGAAAAAGAACACAGATCATTCACAGAAATATTTCTTTTTAGTATAAATCTTATAAGAAAAAGATATTTTAATAAAGTAAATAATCCTTACATTCAGAATGCTATGTAATTCTGTGACATAAGTTTTTTCTGTCTCAATAAGTTCAGTCAGAACATGGCTGAAAAAATATAAAAACATACATATAAAACCTGAATTTTTTTTATTAGCTTGTGATACAATCATGGTAAAAATTCTATAAAGTTATTTGAAAAAATATCTTTATTAAAATTTAAGAAACTTACAAAAAGATTTCTAAATTTTTATAAATATATAAACACAAAAGCAGTAGAAATACTATTATTTTTCAGTAATATATAAATAAATTATATACAAACATGGTTTGAAAATACAACAAAAAAAAATCAATAGAAATTTAAACAAGAAACTACCACATGTTCCAGCACATATCATTCACCTGTAATTTCAAACTACATTTTTTAATATCTTGATATATTCTAAGTAAAATGCACACCTTTCTCCTGACAAAGAAACTTGAAATGTACATGGGTGATGTTCTTATTTTTTGAAGTCATTCATTCAAAAGATTTTCTTTGGCTTTCAAAGAATGGTTTACTGAATTGACAAACAATAAGGGGAACAATATGTGTGGGAAGAGGGACGTGAAGCTAGAGGAAGTACATAATTCTGCAAACAGGGTGGGTTGTATTCAGTGCAGAAGCACATAAAAACCTTTCTCGATTTTTGAGACAGGAGGGAAAAAAATTTAGGGTAAAAATGCCCTTATGACCTGAAAGGATTTACAGAATTAGGAGTCAGATGTTTTCTCTTTCTCTAGTCATTTGAAGCCTTAATTATGAAAATACATCAAAACTTTCAGTAAATTGAATTAGCTTTATTTGAAATACAGTTGATTTAGAATTCTTTTTAGTAATAAATATGAGTTTAATCAAATGCACAACTGAAGGGCTTTCAAATGCAAAGCTATTCAATTGGCAAACAAAAATTGAAATCCCAATAAATAATATGCCAAAGAATAAATGGGCTTTGTGTAAAGAAGTGAACGAAATAACCAATTCTAGAATAGTGTCATAACTGGGCTTTAGAAAATCTCTAGAATAGATTAAGTGTAACAAGACGTAGCATATACTTATTTTAAAATAAGAACACAAAAAAAAAACTTTAAAGAAACTTTGAGTAGGAGCAGACGATTTACTCTTAGTTCAATGAGAACAAAACTAGAGTGAATAAGATTGTCATTTCTTTTAAATAAACAAGTTTCAGAAACATGTTGAAATATAGTATAATTTTTTTTATGTTAATCTTTTCCACATTTTTAGATCTATCAAATTTATATCTGGTGTATAATGGACACCAGTAAATTTCAATCTTATTTATTTTTTTGTACTCGTGTGCTCTACGATATTTGAAAATATAGCTTTTGTAGGAAAAAATTCTCAGGATTTGTGAAAATTAAAACGTTTTTAGTTACTAAAAATTCAACATGCATATACTTAACATAATATTAAACTTACTTTCTTTTTAATCGCAGAACATCAGCACTATTTCTTGGAGAAGAATTATTAGAGTGTTGAATAGGCTGAAAATATGAAGACACTTCTGTTTCATTTTCTTCATAGCAAATTTCTATTGTAGCCTGAAATGACAATTTAATTTTTTATTTATTAATGAGTAATTTTCATTGATAATTATTTTTTTGTTTTTCCAAATTTTCACATCTTCACCTGCATTTTAATGTTTATAGACTTAAATTTATTGTCAATAGCTAAATTCTCGGATGAAGAGGGAGCAGAAAATTTTAGCATTAATTTTAAAATACCAAAAATAACTTGAAAAACTTAATAGCTAGATTTTTAAAAGGAATAATTATGCATTTCAAGGACTCTCAAGGTTTAATTTTTGATGACAAGTTATTAAACAGGATGTAGTTCTTGATTGTCTCTTTCAATTCCAAAAACCAGATATGGCAGATAAGAGCTATAATAAAGATTTAATTCGGCTACAAGACAATAATTAAAATTGGTTATGGTATTATTGATATTGATGTAATAAGTTTTTTAGTCACATTAAAACATATTGATTTTTTTTAAAAAATCACCCCAGTAAACTTATTTTAAATGTAATAACGGCTTATGATAAAAATAATGAAAAAGAAAAAATGCAATCCTATTTTTCAGGAACTAAAACTACTTTAAACATAAATTTGGAATCATAATAAAGAGAAAAGTTGAATAGAAAAGACATCAATTAATGAAAAAATAAGGACCTTCGTTCCTTTCCTAAGAAATTTTTTGTCACCATCTGGAGATCTTCTAAGAGGTGGATGAGAAGGCACTTTAGGTTCAGGAACTACAGCTTGGATAGGGCGAACTGGTTTTACAGCAAGCCTTTCAAGACTAGATTTACGTTTTTCACAAACAGTTTGCATATCTTCAAGCCTTTTAAGCACCTATGTAAATCAAAAAATAATATAAGAAATCTTAACAGGTAACAGCATGCTTTCCATTTTAATTATTTTAACTTAGAAAATCTATCAATATATTAACAAAAGAAAAATCATAAAAAAAAGCAGATATATTAAATCAATGTAAATAAAATTTCCACTGTTTTGTCAATTTATCGAGTCATTATATATGAAAGTATGGACAGATTTAAAAATTATATTTAGCAATTCTTTATTTCCTTAATCAGAAACACAAACGTTATTTAATAAAATAAAAGCATTAACATCAATTAATTCAAAACAAGTACTCAAACTTATAATTTAGAGCATTTGCTTCTCTTTTATATATAAATGTTTTATCTAACATATACCTAACATTTATGTACAACATTAACATTTTCTAGTCTGAATTGTTTTGACTATATAATAACATTCTGGACAAATTTTTTGACACTTTTCACATTTTAAAAAATTATATTATTTTTATCATAAAGACTATTTTAGAAATTTTTAAATGTTAACATTTATACTGGATGAAACATTTTAATGTATGAGAATGAGTACTTTATATGTATAAGAAATTATAAAACAAAGCAAATTTTAAAATAAATAAAAAAAAAGTGCCACAAGTTGTCTGGTATTCAGAATAATTTGAATCTGTCCCTATGAGAATAAATCCCATGCCAAAATATCCTTCATTTTTTCCCCTTTCAAATCATCTTTTTCTGACAAGTCTAAAAATGCTTAAGTGACATTCTACTATATAATATAGTTGCTGAATGTTTAAATATAACTTTAATTCCCACTTTGAAATTAACTCATTCAAAGTTAAAAATAATTTGTGTAATGCTATCATCAATATTTTTGAAAGCAGTAAATACATATTTTTTTTTATTTTTGAAATAAATTTAAATAGCAATTTCATATTTAATTTGATTTGAATATTCTTTTAAAGTACTTATTAACCCCCTCCCCCACATCATATTAAAAAGAAATATTTCGACTTCGACTTCTTTTCACTTTTAAATAAATACAATACAAGTAATATAAAAAAAATTAAGTCAATTCTTTCTTAAGTCAACAAAGAAAATTTTTATTTTAGTTACTTTTTTTAAATAGTTACAATTAATATAAATATGTATATACATTTGATAGAATCACAATATTAAGTGACAATAGAAAGCGATTTTCCTTGCAATTTCCCATTTTCTTTTCTATATATGGTGTTGGACTATTTATTTGTGTGTTACTTTTTATTCATTGATTAAATTTAATTATTTTAATAAAACAGTATAGTAAAAAAGAAATCACATTCTCAGAAATTAGATCATCCCAGGTGGGATTCGAACCCACAACCTTTGGAGTAGAAGTCCAATGTGCTATCCATTGCGCTACACGGACACAACGAATGACTTTCTTTTCTATAAATGCTGTTGGACTATTATTTATGTTTGCTACTATTTATTCATATTTTAATTTAATTAATGAATTAATATTGGAAAAAAATGTATTAACATCAAGTGTCATCCATTACAAGTTTTAAAAAATGTATTTGAAGTTGAATGGATGAATAGAAAGTATTTTATTAACAATTGAAAATTTGAACAATATATAATATATATAGGGAGGGAGAGAGTGAACTAATGGTAGGTATTGAAAAAAATTAAAGCAAATACAATAAAATAACTATAAAGAAAACTGTAATAATCAAGAAATATGCATTATATTTTTGATCATGTTAATTTTTACATGAACTTTCAAATTCTGTGAAGTAAATTAGTTCTGAGAATACAGTTTTCACATAATATAGTAAGTTAATAATTCCTTACATCAAATAATGCAAAAATAAAAGAAATTTTCAAAATAAATAAAGTTTAAATTTAAAATTTGCAAGAGCATATATAAAAACTAATTTATTATTGCATAAATGAATGAATTACATTCAATAATGCACTTATATATTATAGCACTTATAAATGATTTAGCTATATATTATAAATTAGCCTAAATAAATAAAAAGTGGTGTTTGAAGCACTTATTTTTTTACAATATTTATATGTATAACTTCATTTATAATATAATAACCTGTTGAACAAGTGCTCTAGTTTCAGGAGATATGGAGGTATCAAGAATGGAATGATGTTCCAATTCTGCACTTAATTGTAAATCAGAACCTTTTTGTAAAAAGTCTGTAACACTTTTCAAGGCTCTGGCAGCAAACTCATAACAAGTGCATTTTTCAATCTGATGAGAAGCTAACAGTTCAACTCCTTCAGCACACCAAATATTTGCCTAAAAATATTTTTTAAAACATGAATTGCAATATATTATAAATAATCTTTTAAAAATATTAAAAAAGAATCTTTACAACATTTGCAATTATTTTATATACATAAAAATGTCCTTATGTGTGGAATACAACATTTGATACTAATTTTGGAATAAAAATTAAAAAATACATACAACAGATATATAAATCCAATCTCTTGTTTCAAAATATCACATTTTTGTTTATATGCAGTTTAATATAACATGGATTCATATCAACAGGTTTATTTTAATTTTCTTGATTCCATGGTGTAAGGAAATAAAATCTATTTTCTTCATATACCAAGTTTAAAAAATAGTTGAACACAACTATGATCTCATTAAAAAGCTTTATCATTAAAGAGGAAAAATAGCTTGCTAACTTTTTTTTTTGAGCTTATCAACAAAGGAAATATTTTTTCAGTACATTCATGTTTTTTTTCAAAGGACAAAATAAATCTCATTGGGTATCTTATCTCTATTCTAATACAATATTCTTAAGCCTAGCAACTTCAAAGTAATTTATTAATTATACAATCCCTTTAAAATTATTTTAATTTGACAATGCTATTCAAACTACAAGTTTTCATTTGATCAGTATTTAAAATTGAACAATCTATTCTAATTGGCAATTATTTTAAAACCAATTACCTTAAAAAACCAAGAAATATTTTTGTATAACCTGGAAATTTCATTTTGAAGAATAGAAGGTAATTCTCAAAGAAGGATTCATTTAATAGAACTTTATACATTTTATATTACACTTTGCTCTAAACAAAACTAAAATTTGAATTAACAGTATAGAGGAATAAACATCGTCAACCAGAGGAAAAAACACATGTATTCCTTGTAACCTTTATATTAATAGAACCAAATGATGTTCACATGAATTCAATAAAAAAAAAATGCAAGTATCAATATAAATTGAACTAAAAGAGTATCAAATAATTTTTCCTATAAGCATTTTTAATTTCATGTAAACATTTCCATAATAGGGAGAAATAATCATAAATATGATTTACAAATAAACACATATTTATATATTAACTGTGCACAAGAAATCTTTCAGCAAACAATATCGCCAATGATAATATATCAAAAATATTTTTAGAAAAGGATGTTGAATCTATGTTAGTGTTACACAAGGATATTTTGAAGCCTAGATTAGTAGATTGAATTAATTAGCACTGGCAGATAGTTACTTGCTAGTAGTTACTTATTAGTAGATAGGAAAATTTTGATAAAAAAGCAAGTAGTATATTTCGTACATCATAACTGTTAATTAAGGATACAAGTAATGTTAGAATTATACATAAAATGTAGCTATAAGTAAACAAAAGCTAGAACTTTGTTAAGGTTAGGTAACAAATTAAAAATACCTTTTCAATTTTTTCATGCAGATCACAATATTTCCTAAGCATGTCAAGCTTACGTTGAAGCTGGTGTTTGAGGTCACCTACCATCTTCTCAAGTTCCACACATTTTGGAGAAATCGAGTCTATTGCATAATGGTTATTTTCAATGAGTTTTTGGCCTTGCTCCTGAACTTCAATCGCTTTATTTAAATCAGTCTGGGGGGAAAAACATTAAATTTAGATAAGTCAGCGATAATTTATATACATACAAGTTTCAGTATTACTTTCGTTCTAAATTTTAACATATATAATTTGTTCACTCAAGTGACCAATAAATAGTTAAAAAATATTTTTAAAAATCCTGTTACACAAGATATTTTAATATGTGGTTAAAAACGCCTAAATTTTCACACTTTTTCATTTATTTTGACACATATTTCAAAAATTTTAAAATTCTCATTGCAAATAAATTAAGAAATCAAGATGTTAAGAAATATTGCTAGTTTACATAAAAATAAATTTCATTACTTCAATATTTTGTTCAAAGTCTTCGACATTCTTTAGAGCTTCTTGGACTTTGGAAACTGAATCACCAGATATTGGCATATCAGAAATTTTGTCTAAACATGAAGAAAGCATAATCTGAACCTAAAGAATATTGAAAAGATATAATTAAACAGTTGCAGGCATTGATAGCTATATGTATTAAGAAAATAACAGATTTGTTCATAAATTTTTTCAAACACAACTGTTCTTAACTGATGTTTAAAGAGAGTGTATACAAATAAGTAATAGGAAGAAAAAAATTTTTTTTTTTTACCTTCAAAATTTTAGAAAAATTATATATATTTAATACTTATTTAAGTGATAGTAAGCAAAATATACATACTTCTTTAAAATCTTGTTCAAAATGCCTGAGTTCTAAACATTGTTGCAATTTTTTCATGTGCTCATCCCAAAAAGCTTCAAAATTCTTTTCAGTTTCATCTAATTGTACTAATAACCTATGTGAAGACAAAATAAAGAATTGATAATTGCTTGTTGCATGCAAATGAATTTGAAAACTTTAAACTTTTCTATTGAAGAAATATTATTCCACAAAAACACAAATATGTTTAAAAGAATAAAATTCATCTATCAATATTTTTATTAGCATCAAAGTTTAATAAATTTGTCAATAAAAGGCTTGATAAAATATTACTACTTTTTATGGAAAGCATTTTTAAAAAGTGACATCAGTGATATCACAGATTACGAAATAACAGTTAATTGAACAAAATTTTATTTAAAAGATGCTTTTTTTTACCTTTTAAAACTTACAATATAAATTTTTAATATATAATTAATAAGTCCCTTAAATAAATCTTAAAGTCAATTTAAGAATTGCATATTACCTTTCAACAGCAGCAACATTAACTAATTTGTCAGGACAAAGATCTAAAGAGGCATCTTCAACAGATGGTCGACGAATGCAGCTAAGCAAGGTTTCTCCATGCCTAATTGCACTACGTATATCATCTTTTAACTCATGATGTTCTTTAGTGTGTTCTTCAATTAATGCCACTGTAGTTGGGACATCATTTGGAAGAACACTTGCTTGCAACTGAACAATCATGTCTTGTAAAGTAATAGAAATTTCTTTTGTATTCGCTGAAAATCTCTCAACAGCCTACATTTAAAAATGTAAATAAATAAATGGTAGACACAAAACTCTCAAAGAAGTTAAACTAAAATTAATAAGAGCAAAAAATATATGTTACATGTATAGTTTGTCCAATGCTTATAAAAATAAAACATAATTAAAAATTATATTTCAGTTTTTAATTTCGTGTAATTACAATTCCAGAAATATTTTGCAATATTAAAATACTTACAAACTTTAAGCCAAAAATATGAAAAAAAAATTACTTTAACGACATATACAAAGGAAAGACGTATAACTGGATAAAAAATACAGAAAGTTATTCTGTAGATTTATACAATAAGGTTTGAAAAATTTATATTGATAACTATGCCATGAATAACTAGAGATAAATTTATTAACAATTCAAAAAATAAAAACTATTTTTTTAAATGACAAAAAAGAAAAAAAATGTTCTTGTTTAGTACAATTAAATATTTTTTGTCATTACATTGGATATTTAATTTTTTAGTGTATTACATGCAAATGCATAAATATGTATCAAACGCAAAATAGTGTCAAGTCTTGTTTTGTTCCAAAAGTTAAGACAACAGGTTTATTACATTATGTTTAACACTTTAACATATAACAATTACTAGTGTAGTATTAATAAGCAAATTTTTGTTTTTATTAGCCTCTCAACTGCCAATTAAAAGTTACACAATTTGCTCCCAGTGCCACAATTTTCCACATATGCATGTGTATGGGGTGAAAAAGAAAGGCATAAAGAAGCAAATTTTTCTCTCAAATAAGTAAATCCTTTGCAAACACTGTCGCGGGGAACTGTATTTTATTCCAAAGTCTTCGAAATAGTTTTACTGACAGCAGCGTAAAGAAAAGATTCATATATCTATCCATGGCACTTAACACACTGGTTGAGCAAGAGGTATATATACGCTGCCAGCAGTTTAAGAGGTTAATAAGTTATTCTCATTTTTACATAATTTAGAGCAAAAATTTAGTATTTTCATTGACAAATATTTAACAGAAATATATTTTACCGTTCTTTGTTGTATCCAGTCATTGAGATCATATGCAATGGTTCCACCTAAATCATT